CCAAAAAAAAGCTTCACACAGGCACTAACCAGACCTCCAGATCCAACCCAACACTCTTGAGTTGTGATGCTGTAACAGCAACTGTTTTAATCAAGTCCAGTCACCTTTATTTATATAGCACATTTAAAGACAACACGTCGGCTAAAAAGTACTGAACCAGGTAAACCCAAACAGCAGTGAACAGCAATACAAATACAAATAAAATGAAATAAATCCATTAAAGAACAAAAGAAAAATAAACATGGCTGCCATAACAGTTGCTACCTAAGTTAACTGCCCATAGCTTGTGCATTTGTATTTGTTTTCCTCTACAGTATCAGACTAAATGAACTGCAAGCATCTCAGGAACAAAGTGTCCATCAGTTGTTCCTTTCGAAAATGACCATTAAAAGGCCCTTCGAAGTGAACTGCAGTTTGAAATGGCCCTACAAATGGCTGTCGAAGGGCGGTCTCCCTTCGCTTCATTCCAGTACATTTCTGACACCAGTAAATTCCAGTGTTGCAAACTCTTTTAGTAGCTAAAGCAAGCTCAAAAAGTCGCCAGAAGGCATTGGATGACGTCACAAGATAATTTGCATATTGATTTATTAATCATGATCAGTGACGTATCAAATTACAAATTAAGGTACATGAAGAAGGAAGATTGTCCCTTAGAATATGCTAAAATAGCATAGAACACAGTTTTATCAGAATAGAAAATAATTGGTTTTTCATTGAGTCTTCATTTTTATTATTGAATAATTTACTCCTTATAGAAAGAAGACTTTTTTGGTCATGGCACTACAAACTAATCTTTTATGCATTTACAAAATACTATAGTTTCTATCAAGAACGCAGAGAAAAAGAAGCAGGGACTAGTCGTGAAAGGAAAAGGTTACTCGCTTTTATTACTTGTATATCCACTCTCTCAAAGAAGAGTTTTTAAAACGAAGAATGAAGCAGTGAGAGGGCGGGACAAACAATGTTGATCAGTGATTGGTTGTTGGGAAACAGTGGTGATCAGCGATTGGTCGCATGCGGAACTCAGGCATTACACACAGATTGTGAGTGGAGTGAACCTGCTCTCTCAACTCGTATATGAGCGGCTGTGATGTGAGCTGGAGAGCTGTACCAGCTTCAGGACAGTTATATCGAGTTCGTTAGGCTCTTTTTTAAATTAAAGTCGCTAAAATAGTCTAAAAAAGTAGCCAAATCTAGCCATAAAGTCTCTAAATTGGGAACGCTGCAGTGGACCACAATCTGGAAATCTGAAATCTGGGCGGGGTCTCAAACCGGAAATGACGCAGAGTCACACTTTATTTATACCCGCGGAACGCAAGGTCGTGCTTCAGACAGACACGTGCGCTTGTAGCTGGCGCCACGGAGCGGAGGCCGGCACTCAACCTGGTGAACGGATAAAAAAAGGGAGGCTTGTTTCCCAGTCACAACGATCAAGCAACACAATCCGTTAGCGGAAGTTCATTTCCGGCGCTAAATTCCAGGTTAGCAGCGATCTGTGTGTCGGACTGCGGCGGTGAGTCCAGCACAAGTTAGCCGTAACGTTACTGTCTCACATTGGGACGCGTTTCTTTTCTGCACTTCTCTCCGTAAAAGATCAAGTTTTCACCGTAATTCCTGCGCAATGGCGGACTACCTGATCAGCGGACAGACCGGCTACGTGCCTGAAGATGGTCTGAGCGGGCAGCAGCTCTTCGGCTGCGGTGATGGCCTCACATACAAGTATGTAGCATGCAGCCGGCTAATTCTACACAACATGCAAGTATGGAGCATTCCGGTAAACTGGCTTCTGTCAGGGGAATGTTCAGACACACTGAACGTGTGGAAACGTTTAGGAAATAGTTAAATGTAGCTAAACTGAAAAAAAAAAACTGCTAATGAACAAATCTTCCAGACATTTCATTAGTAAAATATATTTGGTAAAAATGACCTACTGAAAGAACAAAACTGTAATACAAAAGTAAAACATTACGTTTTCTGTTTATCACTCCAGTGTTTAACAGCAACATGGAAACGCTAAAACGCTGCATGCTGAGATAGTAATTAAAGTAAACAAACCATGATTTTACCTCAAACTTTCCCTTCCACACACAACCCCATTTCTAATGACTTATAAACTTATAAAACGCATACCACTGTGATATCTATAACAATTTATAAACAGCTTGACCCATTTAAGACTGCTTTTGGTGTGTTAAAATATTTAACACTTTCCCTATTGTGCCAGTGTTTGGGGTTGTCTTGCATCATTTATTAATTATGGACCAGGACTTGTTTAGAGAGCAAACTCCAAACCAAGTAAGATGTGCTACTTCCAAAACCACACTGAGAGCAGTAATGGCATGTCAGAATAGTAAGTTACGCCACGCCACCCCACCAGTGACACTGCTCAGTTTTAGGTTACGCATTCCAGCAGTGGTTGGTTTATTCCAGAAAGAGCTTCAGGCTTTAGAGACATGTTGTCCCTCTCAGACAGACACAGTGTTCCAGACACAGCAAGTTTTTAAAACCACTGACACGAATCTTGAGACTGTGCTGTCAAACAGGAAAGGTTTTTTTTTTCCCTCCCCCACTAGTGACCATGTATACACTTAACAGGTCTACACCCTGTGGTTACGCCATGCAGTTCTGCTCGGTGCTCAAGAAACCAGACAGAGTTTCTAAACTTATCCAGAGACTTGATCATCCCACATGTGAAAATAAAGCTCCAGTGGAGTGTGTTGACTTTGACGTCAAGCTGAAAGGGTGGCAGCAGGATGCAGTGCCAAAAACATGGCTGTGATTTTAACCTCCAGACTTATTTCTTACTTTCAGAATTGCACAGCTTTCCTAATATACTTTAAGATAGATGTGTTATAAGGGCTTAATGCATAGAGTCTCTTTCCTCATCACAGCAACATAGATTCCATTACTACACACTGGGATCGCAATAGATTAAAAACAAACTGCTGAACTGGTGGCACGTCATGGCTAAATATTAGTATCAGTATCACAAATGCCTTCATTGTAATAAATAAGTAATAAACAGGGGGCTGTTACCACCGGAAGTTTATTATTTTCCTATAACAGCTGTCCCAAAGTGTTTTATTTCTCTTATACCACAATAATTTGTCAACACTAACATTATTTTATATAATGCACAGTGACTTGGTGACTTAGTGGTTAGCACGTTTGCCTCACACCTCCAGGGTTGGGGGTTTGATTCTCTCCTCCGCCCTGTGTGCATGGAGTTTGCATGTTCTCCCATGCTTCTGGGGTTTCCTCTGGGCACTCCGGTTTCCTCCCCCAGTCCAAAGACATGCATTGTAGGCTGATTGGCATCTCTATATTGTCTGTAGCGAGTGAATGGGTGTGTGTGTGTGTGTGTGTGATTGTGCCCTGCAATGGGTTAGCACCCCATCCAGGGTGTCCCCCGCCTTGTGCCACGAGTCCCCTCGGATAGATAAGCAGCACAGAAGATGGATGGATGGATTGAATTCTGTGTTCTACTTTTTATTCATTTATGGTTACATTTACCATACACTTGTTTACTCACTTTACTACATTCACTTGTTTACTCACACCGATTCTTTCTTTTTTCTTCCACAGTGACTTCCTGATTCTTCCAGGCTATATTGACTTCACAGCTGACCAAGTGGTACGTAAAACATGTGCATTTGTTCAGAAGTTTAGGCAGTATGTATTAGGGCATAGAATAGTGAGCGTTATTGTTAATACATGGTACCTAAGGGTAATAAACCTCGGTGATGTGCTTTAAAGACAGTGTTGTCTAGTGCTGTCTTTTAGTGCCACAGTTAGAACAGACAGACCAGAAATCTTCTGTCCAATCCGCCATGTTGTTTCATGCGCCATCTTGAAAATATATGAATACACATTCATGTTATTACAAAATATGTATGGCTTTTTAATATACAAGACAAAGCTGTTCTTTTGTTTGGATCTGCATATTTTCATCTATATCAACACACATCCATTTCACATCTCACAAATATTGTGGTTACAAAAACACACTGACATGCATACAAGCAAGACAAGAGAACAGTGTGTCTCTCTGTGGAATAGGAGGATTGAGTCGTTTATGTTTATATATATATATATATATATATATATATATATATATATATATATATATATATATATATATATATATAAATTTTTTTTCTTGTAGGACCTGACATCAGCCCTGACCAAACGGATCACTCTGAAGACGCCGCTGGTGTCTTCTCCCATGGACACAGTCACCGAGTCGGGGATGGCCATCGCTATGGCTGTAAGTGAAATGGATGCAATTCTGCTTATAATGTGAAGTATATGATCATATTAAAGACCTGTGGTACATTCCATTACCATTTTGTGTCATTAAGCAGATCCTGTGTTAACTGCGAAATGTTTGTTCTGTGGTCTTTAGCTCACCGGTGGGATCGGCTTCATCCACCACAACTGCACACCTGAATTCCAGGCCAACGAAGTGAGAAAGGTCAAGGTAAATCTCTCCTCTCCTATTACCTTCTCACACACAGCTGTGTGTTTGTGCTTCATGCATCTTTTGTCTCTGAGAGGAGGGATGGGCGAAAGGATGATGTAACGTAACACGCAGTTGAGGCTAATCCTCGACAAACGATCATCTCTCATTTTGGGAAGGAAAACAGTTTGAAAACTAGAGTTGTCATTTTAAGCAGCTTGTGAAATAGGCCACTATTACCCAAAATATTTACATTGTTTTTGTAGTTACTTATCATACAAATAAATGAAGTGAAGTGAAGTGACATGTGGCCAAGTATGGTGACCCATACTCAGAATTTGTGCTCTGCATTTAACCCATCCAAGTGTGCACGCACACACACACCCACACACACACACACCCACACCCGGAGCATTTTTTTTTTTTTTGCTGCGGCGCCTGGGGAGCAGTTGGGGGTTCGGTGCCTTGCTCAAGGGTCTCACCTCAGTGGTGATATTGAGGGTGGAGGAGAGCGCTGGTCATTCACTCCCCCCCCAATCCCTGCCAGACCTGAGACTCGAACCCACGACCTTTGGGTTACAAGTCCGACTCTCTAACCATTAGGCCACGACTGCCCCCCGGAAGGTTACCAGAAATGTTCAGAATTTCGAATCTGATGTTGGTGTAGGCTAAAGTAAATTAGTGGCAGGCGAGTTAAATAAATTCCTAATGAAATGATCATTAGGAATTCAATATCATATGAAAAGATATATGATATGAAAAAGAATAAAAATGTAGATTATGTTATAAAGGCATCTACTTTTGAGACATTTAGTTATTTCAAAATCCCATTCCAAAATCATTTTAAAAGTCAAATAGCACCAGTTTTCCTTTTTGTATTACAATCACAGTTCCCCACGTGAGCAGGGGAATGATGTGATCTGACGGTGGGCTTGTCAGGCTTTGGAGTTTTTAAGCCACGTTTAGACCGAAGAAGCATGAAACAATGTTTTATATTCTGGCACACTGATGATGAGAGCTGGGCGGGAAATAGTACGAAACCAGTGTGAGCAATGAGAAACGGTTGCCATGACAACCCTGCTATAAACAGAGGGAAGGATAACGTTCAGCCCTATCTGTTAGTCTTCGGATAGTCTTCTTTTACTCCTTTTACTCTCTTTGACGTCTTTTAATATTTTATTCTCTTTCATTTACTGTTTTTATCCTCAGCTTTAATACTCAGTGATTTCCTGCTGCTCCTTTTCCTTCATCATGCACGCTTTTTCCCCATTCCACATTCTCCCCTTCCGCCCTGCCGCGTCTCTCAGAGATACGAGCAGGGTTTCATTACAGATCCCGTGGTGATGAGCCCCAACGAGCGCGTGAGAGACGTCTTTCAGGCAAAAGCCCGTCACGGTTTCTGCGGCATTCCCATCACAGATAACGGACAGATGGGCGGCCGCCTCGTAGGCATCATCTCATCTCGAGACATTGACTTCCTGAAAGAGGAGGAGCATGACCTTCCACTCAGTGAGGTAGGAGGGGCTTAACCGTAAGAGCAAGAGGATAAATGTTTAACAAAAGATAGAAGATAATGTTTTAAACTTTTGTACACTGAGTTTTTAATTGTATGAAGGTTCACACAGATTTCCATTTTTAATGTCTGTAGGTGATGACGAAGGTGGAGGATCTTGTAGTGGCTCCTGCTGGTGTGACATTGAAGGAAGCTAATGAGATCCTTCAGAAGAGTAAAAAAGGTAAAATCACTAAATCAAGTTTGCACCTCTTTAATGTTTTCTGTTTCGAGAAGAAAATTAATAAAGGCGTTGCTGTTTTTGTGCACTTTATTCATTCTTATTAATGTTCCGGATGGTTTTATTTTACATTTTTGTACAACATTCTCTAAATTGTATAATCAGTTTGATTTTTTGTCCTGCTAGGGTTCCACTATTTTGTTGCCTGAAAGAAAACCTAAAATCCTTATTTTTGTCTGTCAGTACATCCTCATGGAGAAGTCATTACATAGAGATATTTACTTTATAAGTACGTTTTACTGATCTTTACTAATTTTATTGAATTATTGTAAGATAGGCAGGTTATAACAAATAAAATATCTATCTAACTTAAACTAAAGTAATAAAATAAAAAAAATCAGGTGTGAATTACAATTGTGAATTTTTATTTAGTAACAAATAAATCTCATATGAAAATATTTTGTTTACCCAAAAATATACATAATCTGCGTTTCCTGTATCAAGGATTTTGCACAATATGCAGTGTGTATTCTCCACAATTTCAAATCTGTGCTTAGTTACTTAAACTAAAAAATGTATTAAAAAAATAAAATAAAATATCCCTGAAAATTCAAAATTAAAACTGAATTTGAATTAAAACAAATAATAAATAATATAAAAATCTATTATTGCCGCTCCAGTAACGGAAATTTCTTCGAATGCAGCTATGAGTTTTTTTCAGGTAAGTAGTGTATTATAACAGAGAAATTAATGGTAATGGGCGTTGCAGGATCTTTAGTACCTGCTGATGGAGCTTGTGTAGCGTACAAACACTAGATAAACAGGATTACACAGCAATGCAATGTCCACTCCTGTATAGTCAGGAAAATATGGCGGGAATTTATTGACATGTAGTGGAAGTGTTTTGTTTTGTTTTTTTCCTTGTAACATCTGCTTAGCAATTCACTGGTTTAATGTTCCTCAGGTAAACTGCCCATCGTCAACGAGCAGGGCTGTTTGGTGGCCATCATTGCTCGCACAGACCTGAAGAAGAACCGAGATTTCCCTCTGGCCTCCAAAGACTCGCGCAAGCAGCTGCTGTGTGGCGCTGCCATAGGAACACACAACGACGACAGATATAGACTCGAACTGCTCATGCAAGCTGGAGTGGACGTTGTCATACTGGTGAGTGTCCCTGTGTGCTTGCGTAAATTTTTTTTTTCTTTTCTCTCTAATGCTTTTTTTTCCTTCTAATGCTTATTTTATCTTTAACAGGACTCTTCCCAAGGAAACTCCATTTTCCAGATCAACATGATCAAGTACATCAAGGAGAAATACCCCAACCTGCAGGTTATAGGAGGCAACGGTAGGTGTCACTCAACACACACACACACACACACACACACACATACTATCTCTCTCTCTCTCTCTCTCTCTCTCTCTCTCTCTTTGACCTGCTTCAGGGATGGTGCGCTGCATTCCTGCTTCACAGAAAGCCAGTATTTCCAACAGTGAGATGTAAAAACAGGGCAGTTAATGAATCACTTATCCATCTTTTGCAATCATAAGAAATTTGCAGACAATGTGGTGATCTAAAGACATGGCTCTCAAATTAGGATCTGTTATACTGTTATTATTACTATTATTATTATCATTATTAGTAGTAGTAGTACTACTAATAGGTTTTTGTTTTTTTTGTTTTTTTTACAGTGATCACAATCAGCTATTATTAATAGTAATGTAATTGTAGTCCCACAGTCACATTGTTAAAAAAAACTTTCTAAAGTAACAATCTAATGCTCAACAGCTTTAAAAAATATTCACTTGACTCTAGCTGCAGTTAAATTAGGAAAAGTGCTGTTAATATTCTGCAAAATGCTTACACTTGGTTGGGTTCTATAGGTCAAAATTTCAGAAAGAAAATGCTCATGGCCCCAGTAAATAAGTATTCTGATACATATTTGTTTAATGTGCTTAATTTTTTGAATAGTTGTACTATACTCACACTCATTTGCCTAATGTGTTTATATATGAATAGTTATACTCATGGGTTTTGTGACAGTAAGAGGCCCCTGAGATACTGAAAGGTGTGCAAATAATTAAGAATCCAAACTACAGACCAGTGCTTCTATCCCAAGCCGAGGTCATAAATTGCATTAGCACAGGGAACCACCAGAGGTCACAAAAGTGCCAGGCTTGATGCACGTTATTGTTCAGTTATAACGGAATCAAAATAAGGGTTGTCTTAGTAAATCGGTATATTGCTAAACAGAAGATGGAATGTTCTTCTGAACTCTCTCTCTCTCTCTCTCTCTCTCGCACTCACTCTCTCAGTCGTAACAGCAGCTCAGGCGAAGAATCTGATCGATGCCGGCGTGGACGCTCTGAGAGTGGGCATGGGCAGTGGCTCCATCTGCATCACACAGGAAGGTGAGTCCAGCAATCGTACACATCACTGCTTTCCTTTCAGCCAGACCTAAGCCCTGAATCTGTCCATCTCAAATCCAAACCCTGTCTATCATTAGCCCTTTCATTTTATACTAGTGATCTGAAAGTGAAGTAGTGTAGCACAGGTAAGCAAGTGGCTGCGATCACACTGCGGTGCTTCATACTAACCCGCATGAGATGGAGAGCGCGCCACCTGAAGTCCCTTTGGGGTGGAATTATGATGCAGTTTGAGTCTGTTACATTGACAAAGGATTGTCATGTATCAGCTATCATTTTAGTACCACATGGGAAGGTGCCATAAATCTGAATTAAAAAGAAATATTCAGATTTAATGTAATTATCATGGGGGGAACTGATCTGTCACTGCTGTGAGTAAGTATAAGTGGTAGTGTGCACATAGTCTGAGTTCTGGGTTTCACACAGATGTCCGTTTTTAATTTTTTATGGACTGTGCCTGGAGGAAAATGTGCATCTGAGTTTATAAAGTAGTGACAGAATGGACAATCATAAATCCATTAGCTAGTCAACTGGGCAAGTAAAGGATGAAGTGTGTGGCCCAGTCCCATGTTTTGGTTACCCAGAAACCTGTGCTAGATAAAAAGTGGTAACTAATAACGTATGGTGAGCTAGTTAAGTGCATTCATACAGACCAAGGGAAACCACTGAGTATATAATCTTGTACAACATCATGTTCTATGTAAAAGTCATTAAGAAGAAGTTTCGAATACAGCTACTATGAATAAAAAACTTAGAGCCTGGCAACAAAACCTGCCTCTCACCTAAAGCAGAAGTGCTGCTTCTCACTCTGCTAAAAGAAAAAAATCCCCTGAACTACAGCTAGGAGAAGAAATGGTGGTTTGTTGAGAAGAACGGGAACATGCAGGCCTGTCCTCACTTTCTAGGGCACCTTTATTTGTTCCTGTTTTTTGTATCTTCCTTTTTTTCCCCCTTTTTTTTTCCTTGTGCTTTTTTTTTCTCATCCTCCTTGTTACATTTCTCTCCCTCGACCAACCATCCACCTTTTATTCATCTTTTCTTCCCTGATTTTAACGCTCTATTCCCCAGTTCTTCTTTCATGCCTTTCATCCCCGCTCTCTGTGTTTAATCTCTCTCTAGCTCCTCTTACTATTCCTCCTGATATAAAGCTCCACAGCCCCAAAGCCCCAGCCACTGTAACGGGATACTGCAGTAAGTCCGGCCCCCCTGACACAGGGCTCCTATTGGCTCAGTGCTACCCTTCCTGCCCGCCTACCTTTCACAGCCCGCTGCACTGATTGGCTAACGGCTCTGCATCAGTAGTAGTAGTTGTTGCTGTGTTTGGGTTTTTGGGGTTTTGGATGCTTGTTATATTGCAGAGGTGTCAGGCTCCAGTCCCGTCCAAGTACATTCCTACACAGATTTTGTAGAACACCACATCTGATTCGACGCATGGAGGTTTCGGTAATGAGCCGATTA